ATTCAGAACATACAATAGCTATTTCCTGAGCATTTATCGGATTTTAGGCACTGGAGGTAAAGCCCTACCAAGAAAGACACATTCCCTCTCTTGTGGGGCTTATAGTCTAGTTGGAAGGCATTTAAAAATAGACTATTAGCTTAAAGACTGTTAAGTGCTTTCAAGAGTACCACAGGGTGATGTAGCAGAGGGAACTCCTAAAGTGAGGTGGGGGCACGTTAGCCTGTCCTTGTGCTTCCTTCCCAAGATTCGTGATCTTTAGGAGCAAGTAGGATGAAGTGCGAAGTGAGCAGGGTGCTCTCACAAGCTTACTATTAATAGTAGTGATTTTTATTTATTATTTTTGGCCTGAACTGACCTGTAGCTTTGGTATTATGTAGACGGAACTTTAAGACACCATTAAGACCGCCCCAGAGACGCTCAGCTAGAGGCAGAAAAAGCCATTCCAGTTCCCCTAATGGGCTGGTGCTAAAACATAAATGTCAGTCTGGTTCCTGAGGACATGAGCCAGAACTCAGTTAAGAGTAAATTATCTTCTCCCTTTCACTAAGCACTCAATAAACAACTCATTGTCTAGTGCAGGCTTAGAAAATCCTATTTGGATTTGGAACGTAGCCCAGTTTGCATCGCATGGGTTAGGTAGTGGGAATAACACAGTTCAAGGGATCAGGTAAAGGGAGCTGTGTTTCTGCTTCTTCCCTCTTGCTGTCTGGGCGACTTTGGACAAGCAGTAGTGGGAGACTTAAAGACTTGTGGGCAGGAAGCTTGATTAGAAGTGTAAATCAGCTTGCTGCAGTTCCTACTCTGACCTGATTTGTGGATCCCCACCACGGGCTTCCGTTCTGATTTAAGTCTCGTCTCTTTGTATTCAAGTCTCAGCATCTTTGAGACTGGAACCTTGCTTACCTTTTACCCTTATCTCTCTCTTAGGCTCTGGACCTATTGCTCTCAGAACTCCCAGAAGCTTCATTTTTCTTGCTGAGGCCTCTGACCACTGTCAGTGACCAGGCATGCAGTTCCGTGTGCTCAAGAGCCAGGGAGTGCCCGTCTCTGTCCCATCTTGCTGGATCTCTGTCGGACTGCTCTCTCTCTCTCTCTCTGGTTGGCACTCCATCTGTGCATTTCCTTGGACACCATCTTCTGTTTCCCAGAATGTCATTCCCCCATGCACATCTGGCTGGCTTCTCCTGACCCCATCTTGGAGGCATTGAGAGTTTCTACCTTCCCCAACTCTGGCCCATACCATGGCCAGACTTAGCAAGTAGCTTCCAAGTCTTTCTTGAGCAGTGGAACCTACTTTACATGTGAACTTTTCAGTGGAACTCCAGAACAGAAAATGGTAAAACAACAACAACAACAACAACAAAACAACAACAGATAGCTTATTTAGGCCATTGAAATCTTCCTGGAAAGAAACACATCACTGTTTGCTGAACCTAGGAAGTGCTACGGAACCCCAAGACTCCTCAAAATTTAATTGGAAACTCTAAATTAGACAATTCAGTCTGCCCCTTTTTATTTTCTAGGCAGCTCAGACAATTAAGTACTTTGCTGAAGTCACACACTGAGACTAATAGAATCCAGTTTCTAGAATGTGCTACCCCCAATACAATGTGAGGTCCTCAAAGGGCAGAGACCTTTCGTGCATGTGTCACTCCTGTATCCTCCCTGTGTAGCACAATGGCTGGCACACAGTAGGGGCATGAGCAACAGTGGCGAATGAATGAACAAGTCTTATGGGCCATGACCTAAGGAACAGTCAACAAATGTTTATTGAGGACATTTTATGCGCCAGGCTCCCTGTCCTTGGCTCTGGGAATGGAATAGAAAAGGCTGATGAACGTGGTTTCTTCCCATTTGGACTTAGAAATAAGCATGGACCTGAAACAAATGATCACAAGTGGTTTGTGAAATAATTGCAATGTGCCAAGCTCTGTAAAGAGGGAATATATGGGCACCTGAGAGGACCTGGGACCTCATCTAGAGCATCTGAAAGGTTCCCTTGAGAAAGTGATGTGAATGGAAAGTGAGGAGGAGTCAGGGTTTCTAAGGCACAACCGGAGAGAGAAAAAGAGCTGCACAGGGAGCAGGAAGCCAGGTGTGAAGGAGCACAGGTAAGAAAGAGAGAGAGAGAGCGAAAGGGAGAGACACAGGGAGACAGAGAGAGAGAGAGAACCACATGTTTGCAGAAGCCCTTAGAGATCCAGGTGCCTGGGTGGGAAGAACCAAGGGGGCAATGAGAGGGTAGACTGTAGAGGTGGGATTAGGCCAGATGGCAGACAGCACAGGGCATTTGGGGTCTCAAAAGTGGCAGGAGATCCACATATCAAAACATAAACCTCCCAGCTGTCTTAGTAAATAAAATCTTGTTGGAATCCCCATTTGCTTCTGTCTTTTCTGTGGCAGGCTTCATGCCACAACAGCAGAGCTGAGTAGTTGCAACAGAGACTATCTGACCCCATAGTCCTGAAATATTTACCACCTGGCCTTTTACAGAAACTTTGCTGACCCTTGGATTAAAGGAACCATAGAGACAAGAGGGCAGAAGCCAGGTGGACCTCGGAGCTGCCTGCTAGAGTGAGGTGGGGAGTAGGATGGAGGCGGGTCCCGACCCCCAGACCCACTTGTCCCTTCCTAATGCTTTGTCTGTCATCTAGGCTATGGGTGTGGCTGAGGCCTGGTGAGGAGAGGCTCTGACCTCAGCTGCTCAGCTGCAGGACTCCTGCCAGACTCTGTCACTCCTGCAGGGAGGGCTGTCTCTGCCTGGAGCCATGGGTTGGGCAGGAACGGGGCAAATTCTCAGCCTCCACCCGTCAGTTGTATGCACTGTTCCCTAAGCCCTCTGCACTTGCCAGCTTCTGAGCCTCTGTACAAACTGTTCTCTCTGCCTGGGGTGGCTGTTTCCACCTATCATTGCCTGTCAAAATCCTTTCCAGCCTTCCAGGTGAAGTTTAAACACCACTTCTTTCAGAGAGCTGGCCCTGATTATCACCCCTCCTCCCCGCCCCTGCCTCATCCTCATCCAGGAGGAATGCTCGCTCCTCTTCTGGCCTCCCATAGCGCTCCATCTTCCCCTCCTTTGTTGTAATGACAGGAGCAAATTATGAGTTCCTGGAGATGTGTTAGTCCATTAATCCATTCACTCCACAACTATTTATTGAGCACCTACTGTGCACCAGAGGTTGTGGACAGAGTCTCTGCTTTCATAAGAGTCAGAGAGAAAAAGCAACTACCAATAAGTAAATAAACAAATGAAATATTTTCAGGCTGATAAGGGCTAGCAAAAAAAAAAAAAAAAAAAAAAAAAAAAAAAAAAAGAAAAGAAAAAAGAAAAGAAATCTCATGTTTGAGAGCTTTGGGGTGGGGTGTGGGTACATCAGGTTAGGCAGGTCAGTCAGGGACGGCCTCGCTGAGGACGTGAAATTTGAGCTGAGGTGTGAATCAGCTATGGAAAGAGCGGGAGGGAGGGCATTCCAGGTCGAGGGGAGAGCAGGTGCCAAGACCCTGAGGCAGGAAAACGCTTGGTGTGTTTGAGAAACAGAAAAATGTCTGGTGTGGTGGGGCTTCAGTGGAGGAGGAGAGGTATGAAGGGGTCAGGGAGGCCAGTGGGGCAAGGTTGGGTCAGGCTTTGTGAGCTCTGGTGAGCAGTGTGGAGTTTTGTGTGTATAGGAAGCCACTGGACAGTGTTAAGCAGGGGAGTAATGCCCATTCTTTCAGTTAAGTGCTGAGAATGCAAGGAAGACTAGAGATGCTCCCTTCCCTCTAGACGTGTATGCCCTGGTGGAGGTGCCTTCCCCTGATGAAAGTCATCCAAGCACAAGGCCTGGTTTCCACTTTGCAGATATTTGATTTGCCAGGTTCCTCTCACCCCTCATTATTGAGAGTGTAGTTCACAGCCCTCTGTGGCATCAGCTGGGAGCATGTGAGAAGCGCAGACTCTGGGGCCTCACCTCAGACCCCCTGGATGAGAATCTGCAGTTATCAACAACCCCCATTGATTTGTATTCACGTTAAACTGTCCTAGAAGTAATCAAGGTAGAGAGTGATAGATTCTCACTAACCAAATTGAGAAGACAGTAATGAGTCGGATGCTAGCTCAACGATTTATAGTGGGGGCTAATAACCTTGCATCAGAGCTTCTCAAAACTTTAAAGTGCATATACATCACCTTCAAATCATGTTAAAATGCAGACTTTGGGTCAGTAGTTTGGAATGAGACCCCAAACTCCACATCTGTAACAAGCTTGAAGGTGATGTTGATGCCGCTGGTCCCAAAATCTAAGCCTCATGTGACACTCGTGCCATCAGTCCACTTGATTTTTATGCTTATCCTGTGATGAGTTGCTTTGTCTCATTATGTGACCCAGGAGACGGTGCCTTAGGAAGCTTATGTCTGAGCTATGCGACCTCGGGCAGGCGGCTAGGCTCACTTCCTCATCTGTAAAATGGGGTTGGGGGTACTTCTGCCTGTATTAGAGGACTGCTGGGGAGAGCAAATGAACTAAAGCACATCCTGTGCTTAGCACAGCGCCTGGCACACAGCAGGGACTCAGTATTTGGTCATTTGTTTATTTTCTAGGACTTGATCTAGGTTTTCAGCCTCCAAAGCTGGGGTTCTCTCCCCCAGGGTAGTAGAAACTAGGGGTCAGCTCAGCTAGAGGATGAGGTTAGGAATGAAAATACTTAGCAATAATTGAATATGGGGGCCGTCAACTGGCAGAGTTTCCTCAGAAGTGTGATGAGTTCACGTCTCCAGTTCTGAGGATATTTGTTCTGGAGCTTTACCCATCAAAGCTGCTTCTTCCTCAGACTATGCTGGAGACACACAGACATGTCTTCTGGTCTCTTCTTTTTCCCCTCTAGACCACACGCTCCCACAGCTGTCTTGACAACAACCATGACCTCAGACCCATCAGAGTTCAATTGCAAAGACCACAGCACCTGTGCTATTCCAGGCATGGCTTCTGGAGGAGATGCCCAGATTTCCAGTTGGCCTCAGGTGACACAATGATGACTGAGTTTACAAGCTTCTGTGGCCATCTCCATTTAAACAAAGAGACAGCATGTTGTGCCTCCATTCACTGTCCTCTCAGCTCGTTTTTGAGGCTGATATTCCTGAAAGTGCTCCAAATCCTGGGGATAGACTCAGTCTGTAGTTCCTTAATAGAAATAATCTGTACAGCACTTAATAATTTATTAAGCACTTAATTTTATTTCATGGCTTTCAAAAGGACATAGAGCAGATATTATCCAAATTGCAAATGAGAAAATTAAAGAGATTAAGTAATGCCCTCAATCACTCATGCAGTAACTGCCTTCCAACTGTGAGTTCATTTAATCAACTTATATTTATTGAGCGCCAGTATGAAGAGGCCCTGTGCTGGGCCCTGGAGAGAGAATATTGAGGAAAAGCAGGCATGTCCTTGCCTTCATGGAGCTCACATTCTAGTGGAGAAGACCCACGTTAAACAAATAATCACCCATGTAAATACAACAGTGCCTTTATGATAAGAGCCAAGGAAAAGAGGTGGTGTTGCTTTGACAGCCTAATAGAGGGGGGTTTGACATAAAAGAGAAGGCTTCCCTGAAGCTACTGAGCTGGGATTTGAAGGATGACCCGGCAGAGCCCTGACAAGGACTTTTGTTTTTACCCTAACAGTACTGTCCAGCCAACTGAGGGCCTCGAAGATGGATGTTTTGCACAGAAATTCCCTTAGCACTAATCTTAGTTCACTTTTTATCCTTGCCTTAGTCTCCTACTTCCCTGGGACATGCTTGAAGACAGAAACTAGGTCTTAAGTGGAGTGAGACCCAAAGAGATTAAATCTGAGCTGAGTAACTCAGTCAAGGCCCTGGTCACACATACCATCTTCAGTGAATGTCCAAAGAGTGTAGGCAGCAGGGGATTGAAGGCAAAATGCCAGCATTCCAAACAGGCAGGAAGGTGGATGATTTATATCATGAACACACAGGTCAGTGCCTGAAAAGGAGGACAGCAAGGAATCTAGAATGTTCCATCTTGGGCACCCTTTCATGCAAAATCAGAAAGCCTTTTCCATTCCCAAGGAATAGAAGCTGGTAGGGTACAGACTTTGGTGTCTGAATGCCTGGGTTCAAATCCCAGCTCTTCTACTTAGCAGATTCTAAGCAAATCACTTCTCCTCTTTTCATCTTTATCTGCCAAGTGGGGAAGATAAGATGTCTTCTAAGGATGTTGTGAGGATTAAATAAGATGATGCCAGTGAAGTGCTTAACACATGGTGAGTTTTAAGTAAGCGATTGTGATTGTATTATTAGGGGTGCTAGCAAAGAGCCTTGGCAGTTTCACAGCGTGAGCCCCTAGTCCCTCATGTGTATGGATGAAGACCCCCTGTGAAATATGGTTAGCTGCCTCCCCTTTAGGTTTAGTTGATGAGTGACCTTGTCACTGCCCTAGTGGAAAAAAAATTAAAACTCCTGAGATTGACATCCACAGATCCTCACCATGGGGGCCCTGCCTGATTATTCACCCTCCTTTGAGATCACTTGCATGGCCTGCAGTACCTGCTGCTATTCCCCTAAAGCATCATGCCTTTCTATGGGAGATGCTCACCTGTATAACTGCTCACCTGGCTACCTCCTAAAGTCACATCCTTATGAATCCTTTCCCAATTTCCCCACAGAAAGTATTATTCGTTCAATCATCAAGTATTTACTGTTGGCACATCTAATCTGTGCCAAGTCTATTGGAGGTATCAAGGACATAGTGATAAACACAGGTTCAAAATTCCTGCCCCTGTGGAGACTCCATTTTGTTTTGGAGAAACAGGTAATATGCAATATGCAAATAAATAAACAAGGTAGTGTCAGATACTGAAAGAATGCTTCCAGGGAGAAAACAAAGGTGACATGATAGAGACTGCTGGGGTGCACGTGGAGAAGCTACAGGGGATGATGAGATGATTGGGGAAGACCTGTTTGAGGAGGATGCATAAACTGAGACTGACTGACGAGAGGGAGCTAGTCAAGTGAAGCGATGGGAAAAGATCATTCCAGGCAGAGGGAAGAGCAGGGCAACCCAAAGCAGAATGAAGGGCAGTGGGACCAAGCAGAGTGAGGATGGTGAGGATGCTGTGAATGCAGCTGGAGAGACAGGCAGGGGACAGGTCACACCTCGCTCTGAGACTCCCCCCGTGCTTTGAGATAACTCTGTTGCAGTCTTTTCCACATTGGCATATAATGGGGGCATCAGGGATCAGGCTTTTTTTGTGTGTGTCTGTACCCCAAGCACAATGCCTGGTTCATAGTCAGGACTCACTAAATGCTGATTGAATAAGAGCCAGTTTGAGACAGGGCCGGAAAGTCTGGAATGGATTTTGGGTGATGCAGCGTGTCTAAGAGAGTCTTTGCTGAATCAGCACCCTTGATACACTTCTCTCCAGGTAATTTTGGTAGTAACGGGGCATATGCCCAAACTTTGGAAACAGTCGCAAATTACAGATTTGGAAGACTTGCCTGTGATTGAGATAAGCATAAATCATCATCTCTTCCAGAAGGAGGCAGGGCCAGACAGGAGGTGTTCTGGAAACAAACATAAACTGTTGATCAAATTCTAATCAGATTCATAATAGAAATTGTAGCAGAGTATAAGTGACATAAAAGGTAAGACGGAGACTTGACCTCCCCAGAACTAGAATAGGCTGGTGGGATAATAAACACTGGCAAAAGAGGACCCGGGGAGAGGGAATCTGATGGCTGAGCCTGATAATTGGAAAACAGACCCAATCAGGATGAGACAGCGGCCAAGAGCAAGGGTCTGAGTCATCACTGAGGAAATATCGAGCCACACGCAGCTTTTTCCTACCCGCCTAGTGAAAACCATTTACTCAAATCCTGTTCTATTTCAGGAAGCGCCAGCTGCATCATAGGAAGTTCTGCTCTTTCCACTTTAGGAACAAGAGTCACTTCTCTTTGCTTTTGGGTGTTCACAGGGCACCAGCTCTGGAGGGCACAGGGTTATTCTGCCACTCAAGTAAGGTAGATGAGTACAGTCTAACCTGGGCAGTTAAGCAGGCTGCCTTCCCTCAGACAGAGAAAAACTGAGCTTGAGTTACCTCCATAAAGGATGGTTTTCAGTCCTTCTGAGCAGTCCTAAAGTGTTCCCATGTCAGCTGAAAGGAAAGAGAAAAAGTGGCCAGTTTTCATTCACTGTCATCTTCTCCTCTTTCTCCGTTCCGGCCTTGGAGAGGAACATGGAAACCCTGGCCTCACCTTCCCGGAGAGGACACCATGCGCAAAGACTCCAGAATGTGCCTCCTCTGCAGGCTGAGGCTTCTGTGTGTTTTCACAGCCACTGTTTCCCGGGGACATTGCTGAAAGCTGCCTCCTGAAGGGGATTAGGGGCAGGCAAATTGCAGGTGGCCTCAGTGGGTGAGAGAGGATTTCTCCTCATTTATCTCCAGGCCTGATTTAAAGAGCTACTGTGGGTATGTGGTGAGGTTCGCCAAGTATGGGACACTCACACTGAGGATTTTATAGGACAAGGAGTTCTTGTCGGGTGGGGCTGGGAATTTTTTTCTTCCTGAATTCCATATTACAGCAGGTTATCTAAGGATTATATTTGAATTTTGGGGTGCTTGGATGTTTCCACAAAACTTTCTAGGTTCTATTTGAAATCTCAGCATATTTCTGTTACAAGACTTATGACACATGGAAAATGAGTGGATAGATAAAACAGAAAAAAAAGGCCGGGCGCGGTGGCTCAAGCCTGTAATCCCAGCACTTTGGGAGGCCGAGACAGGCGGATCACGAGGTCAGGAGATCGAGACCATCCTGGCTAACACGGTGAAACCCCATCTCTACTAAAAAATACAAAAAACTAGCCGGGCGAGGTGGCGGGCGCCTGTAGTCCCAGCTACTCGGGAGGCTGAGGCAGGAGAATGGCGTGAACCCGGGAGGTGGAGCTTGCAGTGAGCCGAGATCGCGCCACTGCACTCCAGCCTGGGTGACAGAGCAAGACTCTGTCTCAAAAAAAAAAAAAAAAAAAAAAAAGAGAGAAAAGGAAAATTGAGAGGGATCTCCGCATCTGTCACTTTGAGATGGATTACGATTTTTTCATCCCAAAGTAAAGTGGATCAAATCAGTCTTCAATTGTGGTAAGCACAAATCCAAGAGTTTATTCAGATGTTAGTTTGCTCATCTGCTGTAGGAACACAGAGACTGGGTTTATTTTTTCTGCCATTCATTTGCTGTGTGACCTTGGTCCAGTAGCTACCTGTCTCTGGGTTTTAGGGTTAGATTAGATAATGATTTCCTAAATGCCATGACTGTGTAACACAACGTTAAAAACAATTAAATCATACAAAGTTGTGCCTGATTGAATTCTCCTTTAATCTTCTTGATAAGGGAAAGAAGAAAGTCTCAGTGTAGAGTTAAAATTTCTTCAACACCCTTTTAACACTTACTGAGCTTATGTTTTTACAAAATGAAAACAGGCTTCAGGTGTCTTTCTAGGTGATAATTTTTTTTTTTTTGGAGACATTATTTCGCTCTTGTTGCCCAGACTGGAGTGCAATGGTGCAATCTCAGCTCACTGCAACCTCCGCCTCCTGGGTTCAAGCGATTCTCCCGCCTCAGCCTCCCGAGTACCTAGGATTACAGGCACCCGCCACTACGCCCAGCTAATTTTTGTATTTTTTGGTAGAAACGGGGTTTCATCATGTTATGAACTCCTGATCTCAGGTGATCCACCGCCTCGGCCTCCCAAAGTGCTGGGATTACAGGCGTGAGCCACTGTGCTTGGACGATAATTTAACCATATTGTTTTGTCTTTGTTTTATTTATTTTTATGGTTACCTTTTATTTTAGACAAGTGATTCCAGTTTTCCATTTACAGCAATGATAGAGGGTTTTCTCTTAAAATAGATGTGTTTATGTAGATGAGAACAGTTGAAGACCTATAAGAAAGTGTTATTGACATAGGACAGAAACTGTGGGGTTCGTATCTGAATGGTTGGACTTTGGGAAACCCGGGTCTAGGTGACCTCTAAATGTTTTTCTGACTAGGAGGGCTTATAAAGATGAATGCCCCAGTTTCAGCACAGAGCACACATTGCTGGCCTCCAAGATGTCTTAAATGTAAGCTTTGTGTGCACAGCAATTGTATGTGGCTTTTTGGCCACTGTATCCCAAATGTCCGGTTCAGCGGGTGGCACGTGGATGGACTTCAGTAAATGATTCTGAAGGAATAAATGCATGACTCAGGTGAAAATGAGATATGACATCCCTTTTATGTTTGGGAGCAAAAGAGAAGAAAACTCCTGCATTTCAGACCCTGTTGGGCCTGAAACAAGAGTGTGGCCTCAGCAAGCACAGGTAGGTACGTGCGCATCCATACACGTATCAGAGGACTTGGGGCAGTCCTTATGTTACCATCCACTGCTGTGTGACTCTGGCAAGAGCCTTAACCTCTCTGAGCTTCAGTTTCCCTATCTGTTAAAACATACACACACACACACACACACACACACGTGCGCACACACACACATGCACACACACACACGTGTACACACACTCTTTGCGTTTTATATGTTTCCCCAAGTTGAATTTTTATGATATCATTGAAATGTACAGAACATATGTAATACGGTTTTATTTTAAAAAACAATTTGGCCTTTGACATCGTGGATTCTCTCTGGAAAAAGGCAATGTTTAATAAATAAACGAGCACATATATAAATTAATATATTTCCCTTTTATTTTCATTTTCAGTTTTTCTTGTTTTTAAATCTCATTGGCTCTTGGCTTGGAATATTTTTAAATTGACTGGCTGTTTGGTTCAAACGATGTTTTAAACAAGCATTGGCGCGAGCTGCAGTCCTATTGTACTTGCTGGGTTGAAGTTTGGGTGTGCCACCAAATTGCCTTGGCTCAATGACAGTTTAAATACAGCCAAACAGTTGGTCCTGCTGGGAGACTCATTGGTGGGAAGATTCCACAGAAACAATGTCCTGGCTCAGACATTCCTGCCCCTGCAGGGGGATCTGAGGGACCAGGAGGTCTCCTCAGGTACAAGGGAGATTGCCAGACTCAGTGGGAGCCATCACTGACCCTCATTCAGGTGAACCTGTGTTCTCTTTCCTTCTTCCCCTGGGGCCCTAGTTGGCTCCGATTTCCAGCAGTAGTCTGAAGCTGCTGCCTCTGAAACTGGAGATGGTGAAACACAAACAGAGACTGAACTTTCTCATCAGCCTCACTTTATATATCAGGTGAAGGCTCGTCCTTGGATGGAGGCAGGAGAAGGGGTTTGAGACCATCTTTCAGACAAGGTCATCCCTGCTTCCTCCCTCCAACTCCAGCCATTTGGTTGAATTTATTAGCCTTTTCTGAGGGCAAAGGACAAACAAAAACAGCAAAAAGGAAAGCAGAATTCTGTGCAATGCAATGAAAAACCTCCCAGTGATTCAAACAGCGTGAATAGTTATTACAGAAAGAGGAAAGTGACAGGACCATTGTGATGATGAATTGAGACAATGTGGGTAAAACACTGGAAGCTGTGTCCCACCTGTAGGAGACACTCCATAAACTATAGCTATTATTATTTGACCCCTCACATGGCAACAGGCTTCTAGTGCGTCTTAGTGTATATTTGTTGATGAGCTCATGATGGGAGCGGCTGCCTTAGGGGGAGGGAGCTAGAGGACTCCAGGCTGAAGATGAGCACTGTTGAGCTATGATATTGATACTCCCATCTAACATCAGAATAGAGTTGGAAATAAGCTCAGAGACGATGCTGTAGCTCTGCCCCCATCAGGCCAGCTGATGACCTTCAGGGCAGGGTGGCATTGACTGGCTAGACAACGGCTGACTGACTTTCTGTCTGCCCTCCCCTTTCTGCATAATTGATTTTTAACTTAGGATATGCCTCAGGCTAAGCACACAAGCCTTCAGACCCCAGATATTTGCAGCAGCCCTTTAATAGGGCCATAGTTGGAAATGGTGAAGCAAAAGACTGTCCCCCTATTTGGCACGCATATTTAGAGGTTTTGAGGTTTGGCGTGAGCATCCAAAAGCCTCCTCCTGACCTAGCGGAATATTAAGACAAAATATAAGGTCTCTGAGGCTGCAACGCCTTTATTTTCTCTCCTGACCTAAGAGTGTGTGTGAAGCTAAACTGCCAGCACCCAACACTTTACTCAGTCTAATGAACCTGGAGGGGGACACCACTTAGGTTACTGGAATAGGGAATGTATTCTCTATTCCAAGCAGAAAAGACTCCCTCCATTGGGACTCAGAAAAAGACTCTCCCTCCCTTATCCTCCCTTAGGATACTGGAGTAGGGAAGTGAATACATTCCCGATGCCAATATCCTAAGGGAGGATAAGGGAGGGAGAGTCTTTTTCTGAGTCCCAATGGAGGGAGTCTTTTTCTGAGCCAGGTTTGGTCCAAGATATTTACTGTTGGACCCTCAGTGTCATGGGCCGTCCACATGATGAGTAAAAACTCTTAAAGTTCTCCAAGCAAATGGCCTCCACATTCAGGGTAACTTAGGGGACGCGATTACAAAGGAGAAGGAGTCTCAGTTAGTGGCAGTTGCTTCAACAGGTGTGCTCTAGAGGGGATCTAGCTCCCCACAGGAGCATGAGTTGTAAATGAAGGCACTCATGTTTATGGAGGGCTTTTTTGTGTCCCACAGTATGCTAAGGCCATGGTTTGGAGCATTTCTGTCTTCTGAGCAACACTGTGGCAGGTGCAGGATAGTAGATCTGTGTCGTTTATGGTTCCAGGCAGCCATTCCCACCCCTGGCTTTCCTTTGGGAGCCTCACCCTTAGTGTTTATGGTTTAGCTGGCATGGTAAACCAAGATGTTTTCCCCTCCCATTATGATGCCTGAAACTTTCTTCAAACCTCCCTGGGGAGACAAGGGAAAAGATTGGAATCTTCTGCCCAGGACTTGGAATCCTGAACCTGTGTCAGAGCAGATAAAATGCTCAGGATGGATTGATTACAGCTCTGGTTCCTGGGCCAGTTTGCCTGGCAACTTCTGCTACCTGCTTCGAGTTTGTTTTACACTTTCACTTCCTTCTTGCCAGTTGTCCCATGCCCTCTAATACATTTCCTATCAGGTAGAGTCCTTGAGTGGTCTCAAGTCCAGGTCTATCTGACTCAAAGC